CAGCTAGGATCTGGAACCAACTTCCAAGAGAAGTGGTGCTGGCTCCTACCCTGGGGGTCCTTAAGAGGAGGCTAGACGAACACCTTGCTGGGGTTGTTTGACCCCAGTACTCTTTCCTGCCATGGCAGTGGGTTGGACTCAATGATCTGCTCAGGTCCCTTCCGACCCTAGAAACTATGAAATGCAGATAGTCTTTAGCCTGGAGAGCTTGTGTCTAGAAGGTAAAAGAAAAATGAAACATACTGGATACCCCAAAGGAATAGTTTGTTCTTACTCTACTTTTACTACAGTTTTAATTCACCTCTTTTAGATATCAAAGCAGTAACCAGTACATTTTAAATTTTCATACTATTTTAGTTCTCTTGGGTTAGTATATATCCCTGATATTAATAAAAGCAAAAGAAGAAATTAAGACCATTGCTGCTAAGGGTATTATTATCCAGCAGCTAGCATGCATATTTTCTATGGTTATGTTATTTAGGTGTAGCTGTTAACTGTGGTCACACAGTGAAGCAGCAAGGACCATACACTTCCTGACTGCCCAGCACCCATTTTTCAAGTACTTTCCATTTACTGGTCTCCTCAATGACCTCTAGAAAGATATTTTTCTATTTCTTCTCCCCGTGAAAAATGGCAAGCATTAAATCAATTTACTTAAACGTACAGCATTAGTAGTGGCAGAGCAAGCGTCTTTCATTCAGTTTCTCTCTTCCCCGAGCTGGAAAAAAACCTGTTATCTAACCAAACCAACCCAGTGCTTTGTCCACTGGTTACTGCTACCCCCAACTAGAATCCCTCAACGACTGCAGTGAGCTAAACTGATGCTCCAGAATTTCACTTTTCTCTGTGGTAATCCCAGTTTTACAGTCACCTAAATTGGTAAACAGAATACAAGTAAAGTGAACACTATCCTACAATTATAATGAAAAACAAAGACCAGTTAGATCCAAATTTAAACAGTTCTTGGAAGATAATATTTACAGACTTTTAACAACATATGCAGAGACTTATAACAGTGAAGTGTCAAAGCCTATTAAATAGGGAGCTAAATAATTTATAGACAGAAATTAATTCATTTTATTAACCAATACACAAGAGCTATAATTTAATCTTTAGTAAGCGAAGTGGAACTTTCTGAAAATTATTAATGTCAGTAATTAGAAATTCAGTTTGCAAACTATCCTTTTTAGAATTAATTTAGGGCTCTTACTTCACTATAAAGTTTCCTTCCATCTGAATTTGCAA